TTCACTCTATGGTCATTTTCACCGTGAAAATACAGTGGGCTACAATCGTGAGACTATCGTATTTGTTTAAAACGTTTGCATCATCACACAGCGCAGTGTTAACCCAAACATCGTATTTTTCTTCAATTAAATAATACCGAATTACCATGAGATATATGAATAAGAATGAATAAAGTTGATAACCCTATGCAGTAGAATGCAACAGAGAAATTTTCCAATGGTTGGTAGATTGCATTTAGCGGCATCAGTGTTTACATATGTACAGTTGTTAAGCCAATCCAAATCTTCAGAACACATCAGCTTCATTCAATATGGTATGGTTTTGATTAAGTTTCCTTCTACAGATTGAACAAGAAAGCGACAAAAGTGGAAGCATCAAAGTGTCCATGCTAGTTTATGACCTAACGTTTCTACAATCCTATCGTTGCTTGAATTGGGTGACTTTGTAAGGGTAATAGATGTGTTACTATTATGTAACGCCCGACCAACCCTACTTAACTCGATGTGCCCTAGTACCTGCTTAATCAGTACCTTACCTAACATGTAAGTACTGATAACGAAAAACTAATCAAAAGAACTGGTATTCAGGAATATATTCGAAGCAGCAAATTATTTAAATAGAATAAATGTGATGGTAATTATTGGAAGTAAAGTCTATCCAACTTATCTGGCTAGTATAGCTGAACTAAGTACTCTGAGGATGTGTGTGTTAACCAGCAGAAACGGAATGCAAAATGGCGTCGAAGCCTGCTCAGATGTATGCTTGTTAAAACAAAACTTAAGACACCCTAAGCGTCTGGAGGCAAGTTAAAGGTTTATTTAGTTAATTCAATTTTATTCATTTATTTTAGCCCAAATTGCATTTTGGTGCCTGGAAGGTGTACTACAACTTCATGAGCCGTGTTATAAATCAATGGTATGAATTTAAGTTTATTGTTATAAGAGTAAAACTTGTGCACTGTGGTAGAATGTAATCCCATTTTTATTGATTTATTATATTTATCACACGGTGTTACAGTATTGTTAACTAGATTACCTTCCGGACATAATTTATTGTTCATAATCATATCAAGATAACTACACAACTTTGAGATATTCTTTATATAGTCCTAATTCCCTCATCTCTTTGTGAGATGGATAGTAAGATTTCCCATATATCCGGAACAGATGCTGAGTCATTCATTCAGTTATCAATCTCTCCCTCCACCCTGTTATGTTGTTAGTTTTAAGAATTTTCACCCTGTCCCATCCTATTGTGTGGTTGTGTGTAATCACATGCATAGCTATGGCTGACCTTTTTTTTAAATTCAATACCTTACTAGGACCTTCCAATTTTGACCTAAGTTTTTGTGTTCGGATAGCCTAATTGACCCTGGTCGACTACTTTGACCTATATATTTGACCTCACAATCGTTGCAAGGGATTTGGTAAACTAAACAAAGCTTATTTCGAAGTGAGTTTGTAGGTTTCAATGCCACTATAATCCCAGCCTTACTGAGAATTCTGCGTAGTGTTTCTGAGGTGCCTTCTTTGTATGATAATACTGTGGAGGTTTTGAATTCTCTATTCACAGTATTGCCGCTACTATTATCAACATCATTATCAGCACCATTATTACTATTATTGTTGCGGTTATTACCACTATTATTACTACTACTAATAACTGTGTTACTGATATTTTTCTTACAATTCCTAAGGAACTTATTAATTAGTTTGGGAGGGTAATTGTTGATGATTACGGCATCTTTAATGTATCTGGTTTCTTGTTTTAGATCTTCTGTTTTACTAGTAAATTTTTTGGCCCTGTTACTTAGACACTTAACTAAGCCAACTTTAAGTGACATAGGGTGAGACGATTTGAAGTCTGAGTAACAATTTGAATGTGAAAGTTTTCTGTAGACACCAGTATCTAAACTCCCATCTTGTTTCCGTTTTATTCGGCAATCCAACATCGCTAATTCTCCTTCGCTATTTTCTAATTCATAGGTGAATTGGATTGCGTTGACTACTGAATTTATATATGTGAAGAAATTATGTATGTGTTCCGACTTCAACACTGTAAACGTGTCGTCTACATAGCGAAACCATATTTTCGGAGCTGGACAACATTTTTCTACAGCCATCTGTTCCCAACTATCCATAAATATGTCAGCCACAATAGGGGATATTGGTGATCCCATGGCAAATCCTTTTGTTTATTTGTATATTTTATGCTGAAAACTAAATATTGTAGAAGTTAGGCATAGCTGTACCCCTAGCATGATATCATTTACTGGTACCTTAGTTCGTAGTGTAAGCTCATGGTCATTATTGAGCTCGTTTCTAACTGCTTCCAGGGCCATATGAATCGCTATTTCGGTATACCAACTAACTACTACAAAACTAACCATTTTTCATTATAATCTAAATGTATGCCATATAATCTGTGCTTCAAGTCATAAGAGTTAGTAAGTCTTGATTTAGAACTGTTTCTAACTGGGTTTAGTACCATCGCCAAATATTTAGATAAGTCATAAGTAGGAGCGTTTCTAAAGTCTGCTATCAGTCTTATAGGATAACCCGGTTTTTAGACTTTTAATAGTACCATAAATCCTACTGGGATTAATAGTTTTTGGCATTAAATTAAAGCATTAAGACTCATTTAGAAACGGCTTCATTCGGCGTATTAGATAAATCGTGGTCCTTTTAACTTTGTTCATGATAGTGTCAATTGGTTTCTTAATTTCTTCGTAGGGTCCTGTTTCTATATGTTCATTGACTTTCTAAATATAATCAGACTTGTTTAACATTACTGTTGAGTTGCCTTTGTCCAACTTAGCAATTACTATATACTTGTCATTTAGAAGGTTCTTCAAAGCTTCTTTTCCTACTCTTGGTAAATTTTGTTTTGTCTTTTCCTGTCCCTCGAACTTCACCTGCTACTGTCTTATCTACTGAACTTAGTGCTATTTCAATTTTAGGAAAGACATCTTCAGGCTTCAATTCACTAATTGCTACATTGAAGTTAAGTCTCTTCGCTAGTACCTTAGTTCATTGTTAAATAAGGCACCACCTACATACTGATTAAACCCTATGTATCATGACCGTTGTCTTCTGATTGTTTACTAATTGACTCCAGACAAGTATAGTTTAGGTAATGGACAATTAAAGATTAGAGAGCTTTTGATATACCCCCTCAGCTATTTCTGTATGTGACAGAAATGATGGTATGTTGAGTGAAATCGATTATTTTGTAGTCTCATTTTTTCTGCATGAAACTGGATGTTTCATTTTTATGAACTATGGTGTATTGTGTACAAAACCTTCAGTTGTATATACAGATAAGATGATATACAGCCACTAAGTACCACAATGTGTTCTGTTGTCACAGAGATTAGGACGGTGAAATTAACTGACTCATCATGTGAATAAATTGTGTACATGAAGCGGGGCAAGACAGCATCATCAAAATCGTGTGGTTCGGACAATTATTACTGAGCAAAGAGATAACACTCGTTCATGTGATTTTATATGATTCACAAATTTATAAGTAAGCATTTTTATTCTCCAAACTGACTGATTGACAAAACCAATGTAGAACATCGCACACAAGTACATCAGATCAAGTCACCACACTTCACAGTAATACACAAAGAACACGTGGATACAAAAAGAATGATATCGAAGTAGATAAAGTCATGTGAGTTAATCAATAATCTGAAAATAACGGTTAGAACAAATATTCAAGTTTTAGAAGTCAAGGAGTGAATAGCTCTGCGCTATTGTAACTGATTTTCAGCCATGCCACCAAGAGTCTTCAACCACTGATTCTTTTCATCTCGACAACGCTAACCAAAGTCTACATCTTCCCATACGGCTCAAACCGACAGTTAAAGACTACATAGACTAGTGCCAGAACTTAATCTGGCCACCCAGAGGCCTCTTCCAACCCAATCCAATTTACATGAGAATAGGATGTCCAGGTAGGCGTTAGCTTAGCATGCGTAGTACATGTTCAAGCCATCCCAGTCGACTAAGGTTTACAGCCTCATGATTCTCCAGGACCCAACATAAAGAATATCTTCAATGACGAAGCATATATTTAAAAAAGAATAACCCACTTAGTTTTATACATGTATTTTGCGATGTATTAGATTTAGAAAGAAAATCAATTAACTATGTTGAATGGTGTTTGCTTCACTGTATGGTGTAGGCGTACCTAACGAATTTCCAGTCGGTAATGATGTACTTACTATGCTGCGTCCTCTGGGCAGAACCTTTGGTCTGTGGTTCTAAACTGGAATCTAGGTAGAAAAGTTGCAGATGAACTACCTAGTAGTGCCCAGGATCAAATAAAGGTTAAATGATGACAGTTTCAGAGACCGAAAGCTACAAACGATGGTGGTTCCGTGTCTTCCGAGCTTCGATATTTTGTGGCGGACGTTTCATCGTCAGGTTTGACAACACCCTCACTAATAACTTCAGAGAGAAGCGGAACATATCTCAGTGTTACACGAATGTTTAGCCGGTGTTTTTACTAACTTTGAGTGTTATCTAATTGTTGGTCGAACAAAAGGTCTTTTTTCACACTTTCACCTCTTTAACCTTAAATTCCAGTCGGTCACGCTGGTAGAGAATCCTTGTTAGAGTGAAATTGTATTATTTGTTACTGTCACACTGTGTATCACCATTAGTTTAATCGGTTAATTTGCCCTTAGTTGATGGAAGGCTATATTTTTTCTTAAGTAGATGGTAGATCGACTCCATATCCACTTATCTGTTGATTGACATACAACCAGAACGCCTTGCTTCTAAAATCCTCGAACCTATTGTATGGAGGAATTCCACATTCTTCCAGTAAAGTTTCTGATCGCGATCGTCTGTGGGCATTTCAACCAAGGTGATTGCATCAAGTCACTTTACTGATAGTTGAAGTTGACGAATTCCCTGACCAATTTGATTGCCGGATTGGCCAATTTAGTGTTGTGAACAATATCCGCAGTCGATTTTTTAGCTTATATGCATCTTCTTTTGGCAACTAGTCCTTCAGCCTGGATAACATGCCGCATAGTGATTTCGTTGGTTTGTGTGACACTTCAATCCCGAGTAGAAGAAACGATCAATCCACTGCTTCTGAAATTTCCTGGATATAAAATATACTACTGCGTTTATTAGTTTGAGGTAATACAAACCTTCCGTCCTGCTGACAAAAATTAATCAAGCTTTGAATAAACATTGGCTGTAAACACTTCGTACAAACACTTTCCTTCCGCTTTCCGGAGTGGTTCAGCTACTGTTAAGTGTTTTGGCTCTTGCGAACAGTGTTTGAACACAACATCTCTTATAAACTGTAGGATGATTGTCCCTGTACACTTCAGTTTGCAAAGTCCCTTCATGTAGTCTCCTGATGAGGATATCTAAGAAAGAAGTTTCGTTGCTGGCATCCTCCTCTTTTGTAAAGTGAACTCCTCCAAATGTTCGGCTGATTAATTTGAATGAGTTCTCTATTTCATTTTCCTCGAGGATAACGAGTGTGTGTCGTCAACAGAACGAATCCAAAGTTTTGGTTTGATAAGAGAGATCACTACCGATTCCAGCCGCTGCATCACTGCTTCATCAATCAGTCCTGATACTGGTGATCTCATACGTATCCCTTTTGTTTGTTTGTAAATTTTCCAACTGAATTGCGAATAGGTCGTGAGACATAGGTCGAAAAAATCCATTCAGTTCAGAACCGCGATCTTCGTGTAACCAGAAAGGGTTTGGTCGTTCTTCAGAAGAATGTGAATCGTCTCCTAGGCTACATATGAGTAGGTTGAAGAGGAGTAAAGTCACATCGAAGGATATCATCTTTTCATCACTATCTATCCTCAAATCTTTTATTTTGTCTAGAAAACCAGTTGCTGAGCTAACTGAGTGTTGACTTCCATTGATGAGATGCTTTAGTTTTCTGTATAATTCTTTCGATGAGTTGAAATAAGGTGTTCCAGGTAGTAAAACTATTGGTCGTAGTGGATCTTGGGTCAGCCGTAAAACCTTAATAGGATTGGTCCGTTTGGCTTCATCTGCTATTGTTCTTCTTTTGTGATTTGGCCGGTTCTTATTAAACTCACGTTTCCTTTGGATTTGGTTCTCCATCTGTTTATTTGGGTTCTGGTCTAGTGGTAGGTACACACTTTCCTCGTTTAGTTATTCCTGTTCCTTTTTGACACAGTCTGCTTTGTTCATGACGATGGTTCTCATTCCTTTATCAAAAGGTAATATTACAATTGTCTTGTAGGTCATTAGTGATTTCATTCCATCTCTTTCTTTGTCCTTAGTTGTTGATTTCCTTTGATTTCTACTACAGATACAATTGACTGACGTAGTTCCTGTTGTTGTTAAACGTTTAGTCCTGAGTTTTTCATCAAAGTAAACTTTAACGAAGCGCGGAAGTCTAGGTTGTTTGTATTCACCGTGTTGCAGTTCAATTCTTTCTGAAGTAAATCGTATTCTGTTCGAGATAGTAGGTGTCCGAAAGATTCAACACCCGCTCATCCTTTAACTCCTTCCCCGCTGGTTGTGACAGTTTGGGGAATTTATCGTTCATAGTTGTTCTGTTGATGGCTATTGTCAACTTACTCATTATATCTACTCCGATGATTGTATCCAATATTTGTTGCATTCAAGTTAGTTTATTCGGTGAATCTGTTGTATGCATCTGAAATAATTAGACGTGTCATTTTCCTGCTACTTTATTGTACAATTTTCCATCCAGTAAGAAGGTTGATTGGTGGTTGGTATCTAACAATATATCACGAAGAATCTCTAATAATTCACTCCTTACACCTTCAGGACCCCAGCCAATTACGCTGATATTATCCATATAATGAAACAGTCAATTGTTTTCAATGCAAGCTTTATATGATGAATAAAAAAAGGCAAAAACGGAATCTACAGAAGTAGTAGGTGTACCCACAAATTTTCATTTATTGTAAAAGTGGGAATATGTGATAACCGCATATGGTTTGTTTGAAACGTGCACAAAAATAAATTTATGTTCGTTGAGACATTTACTTCGCTGTCCATAATAATAATAATAATGTGTTGATATCATACAAGACACCGTCATCAATGCAGTTTACAAGGAAGTGAAGCAACTCAACTTTTCACTTAACAACGCAAAAAAGTTAGAGGTTGGTTAGTCGGATAGTGATTTTCTTCATTACTGATATATTTATATGAAATTTATTCGGTGAAATATTTACATCATATTCTATACAACATATATATATATATATATATATATATATATATATATATATATATATATATATATAACAGTTTATTAAAACGTCAAATTATTCATTTCCTGTTCAACTGAATGTATATCCAATAAACTTTTCAACTGTTTAGCTTTATTTCTTATCAATTTAAGTAACTCATCATTGTCATTACATGTGCACTCAATAGTTTTATTCAACTGAGGACAATTTGAAATATCTATTAGACCGTTGGAACCTACTAAATACTGATGTAAATCACTGGCTGTTTTATAAATTTGAATATCTCTTCTTGATTGTATCCGATGTTCATTGGTGATGTTGACATCAGAAGAAATTATAGATGAATTACAATGAGAAGAGTGCCTATAGAACGATAGAAGAACAAATTAAAAGAAAGAAATAAGTGTAAGCTAATCAACTGGAGAGAAGAAGAATTATTACTTTTCCACAAGTCACTGTTTAACTGACAAATCAACATAGAACATCGCACACAAGTACATCAGATCAAGTCACCACACTTCACAGTAATACACAAAGAACACGTGGATACAAAAGAATGATATCGAAGTAGATAAAGTCATGTGAGTTAATCAATAATCTGAAAATAACGGTTAGAACAAATATTCAAGTTTTAGAAGTCAAGGAGTGAATAGATCTGCGCTATTGTAAGTGATTTTCAGCCATGCCACCAAGAGTCTTCAACCACTGATTCCTTTCTTCTCAGAGACCCTTATTACGTAGTCTACATCTCCTCAAACAGCTCAAGAGGATAGTCAGGGACTCCACCGACTGGTGTCATGTCTTGCTCTGGTTACCCTCAACCTTCTAACTTAATCCAAATTATGGTAGTATGGCACGTCGAGATAGGCGGTGGATCGACATATCAGTACATACCCAAGCCATTTCAGTCGACTAGGGTTCACAAACTCATCAACTGACTTGCCTATCCTGACTAGTGCCCTTTACCCTACCTCAACATCGCTCACACGGTGATTCCACCATACGCAAGCAATGCTACGAAGTTATCTATGATCAAAACCCTGCAACTGCTGCATCACGTGTACGTTTAATGGCCATGTCGCAGCCACACAACAGGGAGGAACGGACTGCAGCGCAGTATACTCGTCCTTTGATAGATAGTTAGATATCTCGCCGGCGCCACAAATGTCCAACGGGCTGTCTGTTTCCAAGCCGAAATTTCGTCAACAAAGCAGCCCATTCGGGTTGAAGTGACTCCCTAAGTAAATTAAGTGATCAACGCATTCCACCATTTCACTCCTTATCGTTAAGCTGTGAGTCGTTGCAGATTAGTCCTGAAGCATCATCTTACATTTCATAGGTGCGAAACCCGTGCTAAACACACTCAGATGTCTGTTCAACGCGCGCAGAAGACCAGGTGTTTTGCCAGTCTTCACATAGCAGGACAATATCATCTGCATACTCCAAGTCAACCAGATGACCTCCAGGGAGTAGAACAATCCCTGTGAAGTTGGACGTACCTAAAGTTATGCCCATTGGTACATCTACGATGAAGTTCAATAGGAACAGTGATAGTGGAAATCCCTGGTGGACACCACTAATTGTCGTCACTTTTGGCGACAACTCTCCGTAATACCTGATACTGTTGCATGAGTTTGAGTAGAGCTTTGATTAGCCTTATATACTTTCTCGATACTCCATTCACAGTTAGACACTTCCAAAACACCTCACCATCGGCGGAGTCAAATGCTGCCTTCATGTCAAGAAATATAGCAAGGGTCGGCCACAGGTCGGTAGGTGTCTGTGTTCTAGAACCTACAGTAGGGTAAAAATTTGATCGATGCACCTTCATCCAGATCTGAAACCTGCCTGGTTCTCTCAAGCGTTGTCCTCCAGTGGACCTAAAGTTAGGTGTCGCATAACTGTGGACCCTAGAATACCGGACACAGTATTAGTCAAACTAATTCCCCTACGTTTGTTACATGAAGACCTCTCCATTCTTATTGACTGGGATGATCAGTGAAGTACACCAGTCTGAAGATACTACCTCTGATCCCCATACTCTACCTAGTACTTCGTCTATTACTCTTATCAATAGTTTCCTACTTCTATGCTTGGAAACTTCGGGTGACAAACTGTCAGGTTCTGTTGCTATGCATCGTTTCAGGTCCCATACATCCTTCTGAACTTCAAAGGCAGTCGGAGGACTGACATCTACGTCCCATTCAGGTTGAGTGTTGGGCAACTGAAGCCTTGCTAAAGGCCAGTTTAACTGTGCTCCAAAGTGCTCTGTCCAACGTTCTAACCACCTGTCCTGGGAGGTTATCAGCGTCCCATCCTCTTCGGTGTTGGTTTCACTCATCATCATCTTCTTGCGAGTATCACTAATAAGCCTAAATAGTTGTGGGTATTACTTAACACTGATGCCTTCTCTATCTCTCTCGTTTTCGTCACCCACTGCTGTTTGTGATCCACGTGACGACTCTTGGCAACTTACGTCTAAGTTGCTTTCGACATTCATCGTGGTCAGAGCTAGCTGAAACCAGTCTTCTTGCATCAGTCAGTTAGGGTGACATCGTGGAAATCCAATGACGCTTGCTAACTCAAGGGTATATGTTACCAATTGTCTTCACCGCTATTTTCACAGCAGACTTAATATCACACCAGGTATCCTTAGGATGAGCATTGCTGTCATGTTCAAATAAATGGTCAGTTAACTCCTCTCTAAATGTGTACTTGGCGTCTTCGTCTACCAATCAAGCAGCGATGGACCTCACTGCATCATGTTTCATGAGGCCATTTAGGTGCAGACATGCAAAAACCAGTACCAACACGTGATCGGAATCCAAAATGGTACTCGAGAAAGGGCGGTCATCCTCCACTGATCCCCTCCAATGATGACCTATCTGTGAGTCATTGGTTTGAAGTTAGTGAACGCCATATGAGACTGTCTCTCTTTATGCCTAGAGTTAGTGCTGACCAGAAACAAGTGATTGTCAGAACTAAATTCCAACAAACGACCACCTTTATCTGTTCGTTACCATGTGAAGCCATAGATACCCCAAAACACTTCCGATTGACACAGCTTCCCTACTTCAGCGTTAAAGTCACCTACTGTTATGGCTATATCAGAACGTTTTGCTTTCTGTTGCAAAACTGACAGCTTTCGGTAGAATTTATCCTTTGCACCCGAACTGCAGTCAGTGGGATTACGACGAATCATCTTTTGGTCTCACAATCCTTGGGTCTGTGGAGATCCATTCAGTCTGACAGCACGTAGACGGCTGTTTACTGGTATCCAACGGAGAAACGCCATTTCTGTCCCACAGCTTAGTGCTATGCATACACTAGCGAGTCAATGAGGGCTAGCAACTGGGTCTCTGGACTCTCGTAAAGTGAATTTTGAAGGTTAACTACAATGGTACAATGACCAGGGGAGACCAACTTAATAACCAAACCTGGGTCCTGTAAACTTGTCTCAGAGATACAGCATACATCCATGGTTTGAGATTCCAGAGTTCTGGCGAGCTATGTCCGTTGCTGTCACTGTCGATTACCAAGTTATATCAAAAGAACAACACGTGACCATGAAACATAGCAACAGTAAGTACTAGGATGTTCACCTTTGGGAAAAAATACATTAGAATACATCAGTCCTATTTGTGATCATTTTTGGGTCACATCACCTGGCCTTTAGCTGCTGTGTACCATCTCCAAAACGCCATCTAGACAGCTTATACGGTTGAGATCGAAAGTTGGTAAATTCATAAATTTTTGTCAAGTCATGACCTGCACACCCTTAGATATTAACTAACCCAATACTACGCCCAGTATCACATATTAGGGTGAATAGTGGTTTACTGTACGTCACTTTTAACTTGTTTATGATTGACAATAAATTCCAAACTAGTGCAAACTATTTCCTGAAGTATATTTAACAAATTTTAAAAGCAAATGAATTTTAATCTAAGTATAAACCATGTAATGATTAAATGAAACATTTAATCACATGAACTCACAACTATAATTTAACTGAATGTAGACCAAAACGCTTATAACAATAGTTCGCGTGAAGAAAAGATGATATTGTCTGTGTAAAGCTGATGATCGAAGTAGGAAGAAAATACAGATTGCAATGGAATTTGAAACAGTAGTCAGCAGTTTACTGACCCGGCTCACTATCACCTTGACAATCACTACCAATCACTAACCAGATCTCAGGTTCACTTAAACAATTTTGTATTACATCACTATAGTAGGAATAGTGTGCAAATCAATCCAATCAAACTAGCTACTCAGTCAAAGGTTTTGAAGATAGTCCATTCAATCACTCTGTAAACATATTATATAACAAGGTTGCTTTCCAATCCAACCGTTATTTTACCAACAGCGAATTAGCTATGACCTAACCAATAATCGCTGTTTTTCCAAATAAAACTGTTCTCTGCACTAGGATGTTTTAGTTAGTTTAGTTTCGATATCATCACAGTCAACATCATCAGCGAAAACCTCAATTGCAAATGTATAGTTTTATTGCTAGCGACTTTATCTAAGCAGTTCACGACTGATCAGTGGGGATAAACTCGACTCCTGGGATCAAAACTTTCACCAAGTACTGCGGTTTGAACGAACGGATAATATCACACAACATCATAGATTTAATATGACACAGCTCAGTGTATATGCCTGTAGGTGGGTGGCGATGTGTCATCATGTGTGTGGGAATATGCCGAAACTGTTTGGTTAATTTCTTGCTTTTTTACATCAGAATACGCGGCTGGGATTACCCAGCATGTGGCTAGATCAATTCAGTGCAACGAGACAGTTGGAATAATGATTCTACAGGTTTGAATGACCTAGTAATAGGTTGAATGCCCTCTTACAGCATCCAATATGAGGGATTCTAAAGAACAACTGGTATGCAGCATAAAGCTGAGTTATCACACCAAAAGTATTTAGCGTCATGATAAGTCGACTGCTTATATCCAAGTAAACAAATTGGCCACTTGCTCTATTTCAAAGGCTTTTTATATTACAATCTACACTACCTTTTACGTATAGTCGGGTTTAAAGGCCCAATAGCAATGATGAAAAATACTTTAATAAAAAATGATGACAAAAGAAAGAAAAAATAGTCACCGAGGTGATATAATTTCTAGCGCCATTCCATAAGAGAAACCGAATTCTGAAGCCAATTTCGCACCATTTAGTATACCCAATCGACGGGCATTCTCCACTTCAGTTGTAAGATTGGCTGGATTATTTTCTTTCCCTACGGGTAAAGTCTCACTTTGATAAGCCTTATTGTAAACATACTCTTCACTGTAGGCAATTCGATTCAGAAAATCGTCTTCAAATGTAATTTGATGACTCTATATCAGATATGTGAAAGAGGACAGAAAGATATTACGAAAATGTGATTACGAATTGTAATAAAACAGGTAGGTAACAGAGAATAAAATTTTCTTTTCAACGAATTCATTTACTTAAGTTGTATGATGGTATCTGAAATCGTGGTAAACCAATAACTAACTATTATAAATCAATAGGGACATGCGATTATTAATGTTCACGAGTGGAACAGAAAGTTTCTAAAGACAAAAGACCAATGAATACACGTAGTGTTTTCGAACACGAAAACCAAGCCTAAAATTGCCAACTGACAGTGATTTGGATGTGCGTAGATAACTCAGTCGAAGACGTTTGAAATTGTTTTCAGGTAAGTATTCAACACGGATTAACATCATTTAGAGAATCATTAAAAACTTGAGACTCCGAAACAGTGCGCACCGAGGACCTTCAGATTCCACGACCAGCAGGTAACCATTGAGCTACTGGGTTGGAATCCACACTTCCCACTTCACAGTATGGCGTGACCTCCATCAAATGTCGTCGTTGAGTAACTGTCCGAATAGGTTGGCCTTACCAGTCCCGACTTCTTATTAGAACTTAAGGAATCTCACTTCGAAGCAAGTCATTAATGAGCACTACAGAATAGTTCAATTTGGAGCTTTGGGGATTTATTTATTGATTTCCGTTTGAAATTGTGATGAATACTGATAGTTACCACTGATTCTATGGGTCTAAATAAGATATCTTCCATGTCCAGATATACAATACAGCCTTAATTACGTAAAAATTAACATAATTTGAAGCTGCATCACTTTAAAATTCTTATCTGATTACCTTCAAGTCATATTTTTTGTCTGGAAGTAATGAACTTCGGTATAGTGGAGTAGGCCAGCTATTGTTCAGAACATAGACCCGAATAGTTCACAATTAGGTCTGTCATTCAATATCAAATCTCACCTCACATTACTGCGTAACTAGTCAAGCTGTCACACGAAATAATTGAAAGAATAAACTACTTTATCTACTTATTAAACATGACTCAATAAGTCAGTAACAAGGTCAGACACAAAAAGACCCCACTAGATGTAGACAGAAAATAGCCTATCGAAGATCGCCAATGATAAACAGGCTGATACTTGAGTTACTCACCTATTCATCCCATACTTAACACAACAAAACAGAAATTGGAAGAAATAATTGCGAATTTTGAGTTCGAACTCTGCTCCACCTAGCACCGATATATATATATATATATATATATATATATATATATATATATATATATATATATCACGTAAACAGCCTATCAGAAGTTACTGAACGTAAAGATAAATAATATGCGGTGTTAGACGTAGGGATTTGATAGGGAGCAGTCTAAATCAGAATCAACATTCAAGGTCATCAGGCGCCGAGGTAGAAGTTTTGGATTTCAACTTTCGGTTCATGTAGGCGGAGAAATCTTATTGAACAATTTTGTCCCTCAGCTGACCAATGAAAACAAATGTACATTTTGTGAATTACTGGATTCATTTTTTGACGGAAAACTGTAAGTAAATGATGTTTTTTGTAAATAAGGTTGTCTTCCTTACACAGTCACAGACCAGTCTTTGTCTTCTGACGGCTCAGTGAAGTAGGAAATCAGGAGAAGAACAGTCGCTACTCCTATCCGGTACAAGTATCGCATCACATTGTTATCATTTCGCGTATTTATTATTATCTACTCGGTCACTTCAAGAGTCAACAAACAGGAAGTGCTTTATGGCACTGGCCATTCAGGCATAGCTAAAAATGATGTCTTTACATAACTACAATCAACAAATTTAAAGTCGAACTATTTAAAAATAGAAATGCGCTCAGCAACCATGTAGCACGGTGGTGAAGTAGACAACCGGCTACACTTATTTTGTGAAGGCTAATGACTGTCTAGATCTCAGTAGGTGGAGTGGCGTTCAAATCAGTGACCCACCGACTGAAAGCCAACTGCCTAGACCAATATACCATAACTGTGGTAAATAAAATCCGTATCTCTACAATCTACACTACGATGACAAGATTAAGATGGAAATTTTAACAGACCATCTCTTAAAAAAAACGTAATTATAAAACTCACGAAGATTCGGTGGAAGAAAATAGGTAACTAGTTTACAGAGGATCAAATAACAGCCGATAATCGTAGTAAAAATAGGACCTACTCAACAGATTAATCATACATTGTACATTTACAATATGATCTATCAGGAATATACACTAAGTACTCAGGGACAGAATGTCAACAACTAACGCTTCATATAGAGTATACTATAAGTTAGCAGACAAACTATAAAGCACTGAATTAATGGAGAGAAGTAACCCATTCTTGAAAAGATAAATTTAAACCTATAACCTGAACTTTACTATCAGATAAGCCATTGTACAAATAACATTCATACACTTTGTAGATCATATTATTTTTTCATTCAAGTTATCGGTTTAATGACAATAGTCTAGCAAGGAAATTCGTGATTTCAGTTTCCCATTATTCAATAACTGACTGATTGGTTCAATACATTCAGCTAGTTGGATCTCAAGTATGCCACGACGATTCATTTTTATGGTTTATAAAAATGATTGAAATCTTGCACACATTACACATAGGAAATATCCTATACATTGATTCTAACAGTGTAGTATAGAAGATGAACTCGATATTGTAGTGGAAAAAGACATGAACGACAATAACATTAAACAGAAAGCAAGTTAGAATTCTTATAGACCTACCTAACGTCAGGATTAATCGAAATCCACTTTGCACATTTGTACAGTAGGCAATGAGACACACCTTAGGTGCTGGAGCCAATGATACTACATGGCTGCCAAAACATCAGTAGGTGGAGTCTGGTTCCAGCCCGTGACTCATCGATTGTAATGTCAAGTGCTTATCCACTCATCTGTAACTCTGAAGGCTTTCACGCCAGGACTTCATCCACCTTAGTATAACTTCAAACTTGAGAAAATCGACTACAGTATCACCATCAGTTCATCGAATGCAACACATAAGTTCGACTTAAATTTTATGCAGCTTCAAAACATATTCCCTATAATGTATTAAACGAATTCTATGAATCATTAAGTTGAAGAATGAAATTCAACAACGGCCAATCAGGTTGGTAAAGTAGTACGTTACATACATCCATCCGTAGTCAGTTAATCACTTCACTTCCTTGTGAAGATTTGGTGATGTCTAGCACTACCCTGAAACACTGGTCAACTACAACATTAGCTCAGCGAACTGGTTGAACAATAGGATCTTGTTATCCTTGAGCAACTACCAAAGTACCTTGAATCGGCCAACTGTCCGACCATTCTGGGAAGCTTGGAAGGGATGAAAATATCTCGCTGATGATTAACGATAGTCTTATATACAATGTTGTTCATGATAATTTCGACTGAATCGAAGGTGACAGCTCTGTATATTATTGGCTTGAATTATTTTCATGTAGCTGCATTTTCTTTAAAAGAATAACTCACAGATAAGGAGTTCCCACTGGGGTATGCCTAATATCAGATTGCCATCCTTAAACCCAATTACAGTCTTTATTTTAACTTCCTAAATTGTACCATCTAACTCTAAATAACTCCACAGTACCTACTAAGTCGTAAAGCAGCAGATTACATTGTTCAAAATGTATGGCGCAAATAAATTAGATTTTCCTAATTACGTTATCCCGATTCATAAAAGTGACTAGTTTTTTTCAGATCCTCTTTTCCTCTGAGTCGATAGTTTGCCTGCACTTAAGTGCGATTGACTTGTTTCGAATAGGCTGGTATATTGTGTCCAGGTAGGTGCGACGATGTTTTACGAAATTGGTTGAGTTTCATGCCTCCACGAATTCTCAGGTCGCTTTCCGGTTTACATATTCAAGTATTTTGAAATTGTCACAGTCGAATATGTGGTGAGCACAAAGTATTGAAATGAGCTACTTCATATCATAACGTTTAACAGCCAGTTGACCTTCATGTAGGCGCTGTAATATTGGTCTAACTGACTCTTACACGTAGTGCCATTTGCAGTTGACTTTGTAGGATAACATTGATCACTTCCTCCTCATTGAGTGGGTTTTTTGTTTTGCATAAGATATGGTGTAGTGGTAGTGATAGTTTAGGTGACACTGTGATTGTAAGCAGATTCAGCAAGCTGGCTTTCATTTTCGAGATATTATTGATAAACGGGAGAAAGATTCTTAGTTTAATTTTTGCAGTAGGTTTTTATTTCGTTCACTTAGTAGAAAGATATCTCGTGATGACATTCTTTGCATGGTAGTTGAGTTGCAAGATTTCGAGCAAACGTTTTTTCTCAGTTCCTTTTAACTCAGTTGTACTGTAGTTTGTACCTACTCGCCTACACAGCATTGCTACAGTTTTTCTTATGCAACATCGTACAATTGCTGTTGCAGTTGAGCATCTAGTTCGTATAAGCTGTCTTTCTGTACACTTGAGTCTCAAGATGTCCATCATCAGCACCTTTCGTAATATCAGCTGTCGGTTATTCCCTTCTTCTTTCGTGAACTTCATTTCTAGTAGATTCAACATCATTATGAGCAAGGGTAACATCTGTGTCGTCCACATATCGCACCCATAATTTCGGTTTGATGATTGACAATATTGTTAACTCCAGCTGTTGCGTGACCGCTTCTACAATGATCCTTGAGACTGATCACCCTATTGGAGTATCTATGATCTGTTCATACATCATGTTTCTGAAATGAAAGTATGTAGACAGATCCATTACTTCTGGTGTTCCGATAATAATATAAGCTAGTCGATACTCGTCATTCCAAAGCATGTATAGGATATTTTCTCTTGCAAGCAATCAATCAGATTATACTCAGGGAAAGTAGCGCGTTATAAATATCCATGCACAACCAACTACTACTTCAATTCATAAGAAGCTCTGATGGGAGTATCTAGGACAACACTAAAACGTTTACCAACCAGAACCCCAACTCAGAGATCAGTTCACTACAAAGAGAGTGATTCTATTGGCAGAAACAACAATCTTAACCCCGATTAGACCACATATACATCAATGCTACTCGATTCTCTGATATAAGTATTTGTTATACAGCAATCTGTATACTTGTGTCACTAGGCAAACCTCCTGTTCTCCAGCTCGATAACTATTTCTAAAAAGGTAAATTGGAAAAGAAACGCAGGCTTATTCTGTCGCGAATATCAGGTTGGTGATCCGTCTGAGAACGTAACTTTAGAGTTTATAGTCATCAATATGTTCAAAAATGAGCTGAGGGGACTACGTTTGCCAACTTCTTCTCTTAATGTCTCACTATATGTCATTTTAATGGGTTCAACCGGACAGCAGCACTGCTTTCAAAAATGTTTAAGTTATCGACTTTAAAACGATATAACCAAGAAGATAATCACACTCAAAGTAAATGAATATGACACGATTCTAGCTGGTGGAATATAGTATTCAGCGATGAGGAAGTAACACCAGAGTAGAAAGCAGCTGATCAGTAACTTTAGGATTTAATTCATTGTCTTTTTTCAGTGTAAACAGCTGAATAATTCAGCTGGCTTCTGAATAATAGACGGAGATCACAGATTAGTGCATGAAACGGCTGGTGGCTACTGAGTCCCATTACTTCGTACTTCTTTGTTTTGTCAGTAAATGTGCGAGAATTTACTTCTTACATTTTTATAGTAGACAATTCATCTCAGTAAAAGTATAAAGACTGAGGCCGATACTAATTGGAAGCTTAACAGATATTCCAAAAAAATCATGCGGGTAGTTTACAGTTGAACAACAATCAGCACGCTACCGACGTAAACATAAACAACAGGGACCCCGGTATAACTGTACATTGGTTGAATCAGTCCCGTAGGAAATAAAAGACAACAAAAGTGAAGACAAACAAATGAAAACAATGATGCCAGTTGCTCTAAAAAATAAACTGAAATGAGATGAATAGTGGCATACGTTAAAAGACAGATAAATGAAGACGCATCATTGCTATTGATTGTGAGCAATATCCTGAACTTGTAAATCATCGATTACCATCTTAGCGTGGAAATCAACGAACAGACCTCCACTCACATACGCGGTCACTGACTTCGTGTGCTAGTACCACTTCTTGACCAGAATACCCTTTCTTCAGTTGAACAACCGCTACCAACGATGTTTATAGCTGAAAGAATAATTGAATCACAAACTTAGAAATCTATCACCCTTTTCGATGACGACGATAGTTGAAATAACAAAAAAGCTGACTGCAAACATGAAATGAATGGGAAGTGCTTCAACCCAACCGAATCACAATTAAAAAGTGCTTAACGTGCTTAGTGTAGCAAAATTTAAGGTACTTCCAATGATCCCTTTTGGTATGAACCACCGTGATAAAGACGAAAAGTGAAACAGAGGTAAAACACTACAATTGCGAGACAATCTTCTAGAATACGACTTCAGTCGATTGCAACAAAAAACAGTGTCGGGCACTGAAAAGCTCCTATATAATCGATATGTCCCAAGTACTTGGTGTAATGGAATGACAGGAGTTAAAGCAATCAGAATATGATAAGCTAATAATTTTTCAAGCCTACATGTAAAGCATAAGTATAGCGAAATGAATCACATTCGGAGTTCACATGTGCTACTAATCAAAGACACCAAGAAATGATCATCAAAAGTACTGCGTCACACACACACACACACACACAGTTTAATTATCCCAGAAAATCAATACAATTGCACCCACAATAGGTAACAAAAAAACAAAACAGAAAAATCTATGATCAAGAACTTTTATTCATCAGACTTAATATTCAAATATTTTATGAATACTAAGAATATAATGAGGAAAAATCCTAGGAAGAAGTGAAATTAACCGAATGATTGGATGGATTTCAGAATTGGATAAATATAAAGATAACTTTGTAAACATGATCAGGTGACAGAATGCGATTTTCTAATTTATAACAATAGATACGCGTACAGGCAGCTGATAAAAAATATTAGTACGACAATGAAACACAGCTAGCTACAATGATAGTCTAATTTTTGTAACTGAATGCTGTTGTAGCGAATAAATGAAAAATCTAAATGTTTTGCAGGATAACAACATTCTTTGTGAATTAAGACTATTCATTTGTGCTTAGGCTTGCTTGCGTGCATTATCATTTACAAATTTTATCAAAGCATCTGTAGATAATGACTTTGGTCGTTCAATAGGTAAACCCAATGCACGATCCCAAATAAGTGATGCCAATACGCCTAGTGCTCGAGAAACGCCGAATAGAACGGTGTAATACTGCATCTCCGTGAGACCGTAATGCTGAAATAGAGTTTTTTTTAAAGACAGATCATGAAAACAAAAGTACACAAATATACCAACCAGATAGTGGATTTCACAAAACAGCATGAAATGAAAAAGTATACTTAAATCAAAGTAATTTTGAGAAAAGTAACAGCTTACTTACTCTGTTCAATAACTACAGGTTAATAGTAAAGATGGATAGTGGCTAGCAGCGCTATCCAGGATGCGCATTTCGTCCTATTTGGGACTCGCCAGTTGGATGTACCTGTCTCCCAGTGAGTGATGTCGTTCCCACTGGGACTCGGACTCGGGAGCGATCGCTTCAAACGCCAGCGCGAAATCCACTACACCACCGAGCCACGATGGCCACTTCTTGTGCGACGGGTATAGTTTTAGTGTTATTGCTTGTATTATACCGTCGTTGATTGGACCGAATTGATCAGTCTCTATTGGCATATGGGCTCCTGTGCGGATGCCTCGACATACCTGTGTAGTTCTAGTTATAGTAAAGATGGACAGGTTAATGTCAAAACAGACTGCTACACTCATATGACAATGTGAAATAATGCTAAGTAATTCAGCAATCATACACACGGCCGTTCGCTAACTAATCACAATGCACTCAGCAAACATGTGCACTGACGTGCAGTAGACTATAAGCTAAGCCTGTTGTGTGAGAGTTAGTTATAATTATCTAACTGTCCAAACCTCAGGAGGTAAGGCGGTGTTGGAACACGTGAAAATTGGATACCTAGACTAATGAGTCACAAACTGACTTGCCGTTTCTAATAAGTTAAGTGGATCAGTACACAATCACTGAGATAATTTTGTGCTCTTACTAACATGATTTTAAAAAATTGGGAAAAATATCAAATCCTCAAGAATATGAGCAGTTACATTTTCTGTCTAGTTTGAAACTAGAACAAATGTGGTGGCGGTTGGTAGTGTGCATACAATTTCAGAATGAAGTTACAAATTATTATGAGAGATCAAAGAACTGGACAACTGAAACGTCTGGACAACATTCAAGGTATTTAGTAGTAGGAATTCGGTAATTAAACCACTTCTAAAGCTGAAGTACTATGAAGATTTGTCATACATAGCAGTGCAAAACAAAATTTTACCTGAAGCAAAACACCACTATGTGCATCAACGTTAGGCCAAGGATTTTGAACTTTGCCAAGGCTTGTCAAAATTGGAGGCACAACTTTATACAACTGAGCAACCAATTTGTAGAGTGGATCATTCGGGAAGTGTCTTTCACAAAACTCTTGTGCACAAGTAAACCTGGGATCAGTTCTTCGGAGGACAGCATGACCATAACCAGGAACGACCTAAACAAATAAACAAACAATTAATGATTAACCAGTGTCACTATGAGTAGAAACGTATGACTTTGTAAATGATATTACTACTAAACAAACGGAAAGACTTTGTATTATATAGGTATGTTTGATATCCATTTACAGAAAACTGATTAAAGAAAATAATAACGTCCATAAAACACACGTAAATTCGAGGAGTCATGTAGAGCTTATGCTTTGAAAATTTTCCAGCTGAAAGGATCCGCATACCAGAACAGTACAGCTTGGTTTGTTTTCATATCAGCCGAAAGTGAGAAACCATCTTCATTAGAAGCATTTTATTATTATTATTTGTCCCTTGGTAATTTTGAATCCAGAGCACCTTTTAATCTCTCCAGTATGCTGTGGCATAATATTTTGCTTGGAGTGGACAGGGGTGGAATATGACTCCGTGCCAGTTCCTGCAAAGACTTAGATCTCCCTTCTTTGGAAGTTTGACAAGGTAGACCTTCTACCAATCTGCAGGCACCTCTCCTTTCTTCCTTCTTTCCAAACCCTCCACAGTAGTGGTGTGAGCGTATCCGCTGTTGTCTCTGTGGCTGTTTTCAGTGCTTCTGGAAGAATTCCATCTCGTCCTGATGCTTTCCCGGATCTCAGCAACTTTATGGTGTTCAAGACTTCACTTCTGCTTTTGTTGGAGGGCTTGTGTTCACTGGTAATTCTGCGGTTACCGGTGGTATTTCTGAACGAATTGCATGTGGTAGTGGTGGTGACCGACTCAAGAGTTTTCTGAAGTGGTCAGTCCATTGTTTCCTTTGTTCCTCCCTCTTTGGTTTTCTTCACTATCTTTCATTGGTTTCATCTGAGTTGATATAATGTTGTCAGGTCTCTCCTACCTGCAGCCTGTTCTGCTTCTTTTGTCAATGTGATGTAGAAGTGTCTTTTGTCTTTCAGCGCACTATACTTCACTTCTTTGTCCAGTGTACTGTTTTATACGTTGTACTCAGTTCTTCTTTTCGCTGTACATCCTTGCACTGGTTTGTCTTCTGCTTTACCATCTTCCTCTCTTCTATCAGCTTCCATGTGTCCGTCGAGATCCATTCCTTGTCCTGCTTCTTCTTTCTTCCTAATACGGTTATGCAGGTTTCTTTCCACATAGCTTTCAAAGAGTTCCAGTGTTGATCCACACAGGTTTTCTCCAGGATGTTGCCTAATGTCTCCCATTTTGTCCTGATGGCTGACGTGAAGATGTCCTTTGTAGTTTCGTCTCTCACTTTCTGTTCTGGGTGTTGAACCTGGACTGTGGTCTATCACCGCCGACTTCTGTGAAGGCTTTCAACTTGATTTTGAAGATTACTTGCACTAGATGGTGTAGAAGCATTTTAGTAGGACAGTTTTACAGTTAAAATACTTTGATGTTTACAATTAAAAGATTCTTATGTTTAGGCAACAAATACCCTTTTATACATAAGCGTTCATCCGAGAAAAGATGTGGCACAAAATAAATAAACGATCCACGCTTACATTGTTAACCTAATAACAGATTTGTGATATTTTAAGAAGTCATTCACTAACCAATGTCCCTTATACATATTTGAGTTACACTATGATTTCTCAGAAGCGCTATGTTCTGTTTCCGGGATGTGCATAAAAAAATACTGAACGTCATTCATTCAATGTATAAAATATAAGTTCACATGTCCCTACGTATGTCAATATACGGCCACATTTAGCAGTAGAAATCTAACCTCCAGGCGTTTCGCGCTGTTCGAATGGAACAGAAATCAAAAAAAAAGCCTTTATGCAGACACTCCGTAGTTGAGCTTCACACAAAGGAACAGGTTAATTTTACAAAGGTTCACTATCCTTTCATAAAAAGCCAGACGTACACATGCAGTTATCGTAGCAGGTGATTTTAATAGGCAAGTAGGTTATATACCGAGAGATTAGAGATTAGAACACATTTCAAATGTTAAGCCATTACCTATTCCAATTCATTTCATCATCCGGAGTAAAAATTTGATGGTACCAACCCACGGCGGCTTTTGTGTGTTCGCTTACCAGTACTTCGATACTATTAACAATGACCACTTCGACTTCCTGGTGCAAACTTATTCCAAAATGTACACATTACGCAACTTCCTCGGAGCTAAAAATAATGCAGTTGACTCCAGTGCTGTACAACGCAGACTTCTAAGAGTGAAATCTAATACCGAGAAATGAATAATTAGGTTTTCATTTCATATAAATCAATATGACTTCTTGCTAAGGCTATGGATACGCAGTATTACCTACCTAAGATAAAGATTCAACATGACATCACAAAGTTTGATAGTAATGATGGATAGTGGATAGCGGTGAAACCCAAGAAGCGTGTTTCAGATAATTTGGGGCTTATTAATGGCGAGAAATTACAGGCAAAAGCCTCATGAAGCCAGAAAACTAATTGAAATTGTAGCACGTGTTACAATGAAAGTTAACATGAAGACACAAGAAGTGTGAATGATAAAGGATAGTGAAACTTAACAACTACCTTTACTTTTCAGTATGAAGCTAAGAATTATGGGTGTTTTATAAGTTGAAGATCGAATAAACCTCACAGATAGAGATACATTCAAACTTATGACTTGATGTTTGCCAACAGAGTACCGAAACCAGTAAAGCATATCCCACTCGATGTGCACAGGTAAACAATAAATCTCATCTGCCAGATCGGAGAAATCAGAGTGATTTTGAGGCGCTGATTCAACAAATTTGATGAATCATTCACAAACACTTCAAGAACTTAATGAAAACGGCATTATAAATAAAGTGCCGATAACAACAGCTAACCATAATTTTGATGAAAACTGAAAAACTGATAAATTATGGTTCTATTTATACGATAGATTACAGAATTTTCACTATTCTGAGAACGTTATACAATAACGAAGTCGATGACCAATGGGTCATTTGGTTTCAACGTATTTTACCGTTCATTACTAAGCAACTCACAAAGAAGCCTCATCTACATACACAATGTATCCTTATTTACTAGTGGTTGCGTTACATGAAACTGTCTTACTGATAAAACTTCGAAACAGTCTATATGAGCTAAACTGCAGTTTAGCAAATGAGACTAGTCTAACTATTAACATTTTTACACGCAAAAGCTAAACATAAAGTGGATTATACAAAAACTCACCTGACCAGCATTCAATGTGTCCATCACATACTGTTTGACCTGCTCATCTGTTGGATTCTTACCGACTTTTTCTTGCATTTTATTCAAGAAAACTAATACTTCTTGATTGGCCAATCCATGTAAAGGTCCAGCTAAGCCACACATGGATGCAGCGAAGCTAAGGTATGGATCAGAAAGTGCACTGCCTACTAAATGGCAGGTATGCGCGCTGACATTGCCACCCTAACAGTAATCAAAGATTAACGATTTAATATAGAATTATTAAAATGACGTTACAGCGATTAAATTATTTTTGTAGGGAAGAAAATAATGATCGATTACAATTATATCATCTAGGAATCTCCCTCTATATGAATGATAAGTGTACTGATTCCCTCATTTACAAGGCTTCATTTTCTTTCAGTGAGTACTGTCTCGTTGATAAAAACAGTATGCTGTCTATTTGACTCATCATTATTATATAACAGTACATAATTTACATCGGCTTCTGATGAAAAAATACCTAGTCTACGGCAGGTTTCTTTGTCCTAACCAGTAGGCATTTGAAAACAACAGGAGGCTTTTAAATATGCGTACAAACAACAGCTAATTGGTTTAAATGAGCAGATTGACAACCAGCAACGAAAACGAAAGTTGAAGTAAAGCATAATCGTATGGCACATGATATCAACTGTTTTCGAGAAATGTCACTCGTCGTAAAGATCCTAATCTGACAGTCGAACCAAAGGTCTCCAATTGATGGTGTTGTACTGATGAACCTTCACCGATATATCGACTGAGTCCTTGATAAAATGTTCACCATCATTACAAAATAATTATAACTGACCGAAAAATTTACGAAATCAGCGCACAACCTCGCACACAGGTGCATCAGCTCAAGTTGAAACACTTCACAGTACACAAAGGACGGGTGGACAGAAAAAGGAATGGTATCAGAGTAGATGAAGTAGTGTGAAGACGAAGCTTAGTGCGAATATTCAAGTTTTAGATGTTAAGCAGTGAATACATCTGTGTCATTGTCACCGATTTTCACCCATGTCCCCTACATTTCTCAACTACTGATTCTCTTCTACTCGAGGACCCCAACCAGGCCAATCTGCATCTCCTATACGACTCAGGCCAACAGTCAGAGACTTTATCGACTGGTGCCAAGCCACCTTGAAACCCTTTTCCAACTTCCTCTAGCATAGGACGTCCAGGTAGGTAGTGGCTTGGCACGTACAGTACATGTCCAAGCCATCTCAATTGACTAAGGTTCACAACCTCACCAATCATAATGTAACGAGTAGAAAAGACCTGCATCCAACCTTTACTTGAATACTGCTTTCTAACATTAAGCATTTTAAGAGTGTGATGAACTTAAGATTGAGAGGGTTTACCAAATACCTAGTTAGTAATGTGCCCGAATTGAGCTACGACGATAGATGTAGACAACTCTCCTTATATTCCTTGTGAAAAAGATAACTGGCACTGAATCTGGTTCCTTGATGTCACCCACTTCATAATGTAGCTAACTAAACTGAACTTCATGGTTTCATTTATGTTCTTTGCGTAGTAAGGACCATCTTGTTTACATACCCAGATTTTCTTAGTTACTTAAGGTAAACATTTTTATCATAAGTTCCACCCAACTCTGGGATTACCCACCTCATGTTATCAGATACAGCGTCATCATCGAAGTCTTCAAGAGGCAACCCAATATATCTTTACTGGTGAGAGGAACACTTTACCTCTTGGTGCCAACTACAAGCAATCATCATCTGCTGAAATTACAGGACCCCTAATGTGGATAATTAGTCTTATATGCTGCATAAATAAGTTGTCGATACTTTACTACTTCAGGTATATCACTTGATTCTTTGAGAAAACTCTGTTCGGTTTTCGGCTTTATCCTTTCCACATTTTCTTTACGCTGTCACTCCCGTTTGCTGATTTCTCCTACTTTTTTGTCTCAACAGTGAAAAATGGCTGTTAGAAACCTGCCTGGGTGTGCCATACGAAATTATGTGGTCACCATGTTTTCTATCACGACTGTAACGTAGTCTTTGACAGTCAAATTTTCCTACAGCTTTGGAGCAACGTAGTATAACCGTATCGTTATGGCGACCGCTTGCACACTGAGCGTATGTAGTGACCAAACAAACTTTATTCTGGCCAGCCTAAAACAGTCATCTGTAAACTTCAGCGATTATTTTTCACGTGTTTTCAGTATATTTAAATGTGTGGAAAGGTTTTACTGTATCCACTCCCATTTCCAGCTGTTACCAGCGCATACATACATGGTTTAGACCTCCCATTTCCCGAATTTAATTGGAATACTTTCATGTTCAACCTTATGTGGTATGGAATGTTTTTATGGTCGGAACTTGGCATTTTTTATACACTGTACCGCATTTCTTAGAAATGGGTTTTGTTAAAATTACTACCACTATGCGCTTCGTGATGTTTCTTCAGCTAGGATAGTGAAAATTTACTACCACAACACCAACTAATTCAAGACTGAGTGAAATTACTTAGTAATTGGAGGAAAACATTTGTTTACTGTCAGCTTTTAAACTACAAGCGGGGAAAATCGATATATATAAAGACGAACAAACGAACAGTTTATGAAACATTTGGTAGAAAATACATTAAAACAATGTATTTAGTTAGTATCACTTACTTCATGATCACAGTGGAAAGTTAAGTAGAGACGCATCATTTCGGTGAAGCCAGGATCCTCATACCCCAACATACGACAAAAGTTATGGGACCAATCCGTTTTTGAGTCTATTGCAGTAACAGATGTACCGTCACGATATAAATTGCGGTAGATAATTGCAGCAACGGTTGGAAGCTTAGCAATTAAATCCATAGAATCTTCGTAAACATACTACAAGAAAAAAACACTTGAGTGTTACCAGTAAAACATAGTTCAATCAATTTTTTAGAAACTTGAAAACACATTTGCTATATAGCGGATTTCAGCTTAACTCTCTTGAAAAAAAGTTTTTCTTAACTGGTTACGTTTAAATAATCAGACTGATCGGCAGACAAGATCAACATAAGACCAGGCGCTACTGCATAGCAGCACAGACGGTCACATCTTATATTATCACATCCAGCGACCAAGCAATAAGATGAAGGATACAGAAAAAAAGCAATCGAAAGTTGCAGAGTTGTGATAAAATAACAAGTAAAGATTCAGAATTCAGTATGACGATTAAGAAAAGGACGATGTATGGATACATCTGGCTGACTGATAAAATCAACGTAGAACCTCGTACACTGGTGCATCGGCTCAAGTTGAAACACTTCACAGCAGTACACAAAGAACAGATGGATAGGAAGAGAGTGAAGTCAAAGTAGATAAAGTAGTATGAGAGAATAAACAATTTGAAGATGAAAGTTAGTGCAAATATTCAAGCTTTAGATGTCAAGAAGTGAATAAGTCTGTGCCAATGACATCGGTTCTAAGCCACAACAACTATTCTCTAACCACCGATGTTATCATGAAGACCCCTTCCTCCCTAAAACTCTACACCAGACTTCCATAATAATGGCGCTGTGAAACTAAAAAATACGGTCTAAGCCATGAAGCCAACAGTAGTCAAATATCTGAAGCTGTCTCATATCCTCTACCTTTGATAGCCGTTTTCCACATCAGCTAAGAAGAACACGTATTGAAGTGTAGTACACTCTGCTCTTAATATGCATTCAGACATCACGGTAGCGCCATAAATGGCCCGAAGACAGTTTAGCCGTCTGTATCCATGCCCACATTTCGGTGGCCACTTACCAACCAACGCTGATCCGACTTCCCAGGTAAGTGAAGTGGTGAACAAGCTCAAAAAGGCACCAGTGAAGATCAGCTCTGTAACGACACTGCATTTGGATGGTGAGAAACGCATCCAGACATTCTCAAACTACCACACGAGCCCAGAAGACTCTCCATCTTGTCAATGTTTTCATCTAACAAGGATATATCATCTGTAAGCCTTACATCCACTACAGTCTCATATGATAAGACCAATCCCTGTAAAATCAGACGAAGAGACCTCCATATGTATGTCGATTACAAAATCAAAAAAGAATAGAGTGTACAACCTTGACGAACACCACTCATCACAGGCTGTAATACACCCACTGGTGTTCCAGTACAGAGCGATGAACTTACTCAACATCCCTTCCAGTTAAAGACTGCCACGGAGTGCTCCGCCCATCAGTTTAGTCGTTCTCCAGCGGGAAAATTGCAGATGCGTCTTTTTATGCTATGACATTCCACTGAACACTTTTGTCCCAGCTTCCTGAATAAATCTATATAACTGTCTGAAGGTACCCATCTTCGATACCTTTTCCATCTCCTTAGCATTCGCTACCCGCCACTCTTTACGGTTGCTGAGTAGACTTTTCGTTGGCCTATATATCAGTTGCTTTTGCTCATCGTCCTCCAAGCCGACACACTCCAGCGATAACTGATGGCAATATGGTATGTCTGTACCGACCGTTGAGTTTAGGTTGGTGGTGCCACATCAGACAATATCTCTCCTTACATCTAGGTTTTGTGTTGGCTGAAAATAGATGGTTGGCTCATCCCAGTTATGGGTGATCGCTGTTATCCGCTTGTTCGGCCGGGATTACGGTGAAATCAAAGTGCCTTAATACCTGACCTGGCCTACCAACCTGCGCATGGATATCACCTGTCAAAGCAACCGCATATGAGCGTCTGGTGTTCGGTAGGAGGTTAGACAATTTTCGGTTCAGAAAACAGAAAACTAGACATAAGTCAAACAACCTACCCTCAGTCCTTTTTAAGGACTGACGTAAAACTGAAGTCAGGGAACTGAAGGTATTGTCTGGGAGGGTAAGGCATGAATGAGAATGTCCCATCACTTTGGAATAAAGCTTATGTCGTACCCAACTCAAAAAAGTGTCTACCTAACGTGTCTGATAATCATCGGAGTAACAGTCTACTACAGACAGCGTCTAAAGTATTGGCTGTTATCATGCTTCCCAAGCTGCCCAAAACGTGTGAAAACCTGATCCGTGAGCAGATCAGGTTTCGGTCAAGTCCCGATTCCACTAATCACGTGTTCATCCTCCATCACATGCCTGAACTACACCACACATATAGCAAGACAACAACCGTTGTATTCCTCAACATACTTCTACACATCAGGCAGAGTGAACGCCTACAGCCACCTATCTTCATTTTTCCAAACCAATGAGAGGTTTAGGCAAGGGTTGCTCAATTTCACTATTCCTCTGGAACTTCATCATCAATGACATTCTACAAATAGACAGCTCTAAAAGAAATCCATAGTGGTGGTATAAACCTGCTATTAAGTGGAAGAATTCGAACCACAGTATGTGAACGATATCGTTTCACTGTGCGATAACATACAGGTTACTCAAGTCGCACTTAGTCAATTAACCATAAGCCTCCGCAAGTACGGTATGTACTTTGCATCATCAAAGTACAAAGAACTTCTACAAGATTAGTAGGAGTTTGTACCTGTACTTACTTTTGGTGGTGAATCGCTGGGCGTTTTTTAAAAGTTTGTGTACCTAGGTGGTCTTCATCAGTGCTCACGAAGGTATAACTGACGGAATTTCCATCCGTATATCGACAGATACAGTAGCATACATAAATCTGGATTACCTTCGGCCCCGACGAGATGTCAACCTTGCTGTAAAACGTCGGTTATACAACACATAGGTGCAGGTTGTTCTGTCCTACGCCTGTGAAACCTGGCCTCTCCAAGCTGGCGATGTTCGACAACTTAGTATGTTTGACCACTGTTGTCTCTTCAGGACTGCTCATATCTGGTGGAAACACCATATAAGTAATTAGGGTGAGAAGGCGTGTTTAGGCGCGAAGGAAATTACTGCTTATTAACTGTGGAAATCTTAAAATACCGGCTCCGGTGGCTCTGACACGTGCTAGACATACCGAACAAGCGGCTCACACATTGTTCACTGTTCGTTTGCTCTGGGACTAGCTGGAAGAATCAGAGTGATGGCCAGTTCATGACGTAGTGCTGTGGAATGGAAGATAACTGTGTTGGACTAGCATTTGCAGGAGCCTCACGACTCCTTAGATGGAGTGCGAGACACTATGCAACTCACTGGCTCCAGACAACAGCTGACATGGATGTAGAATCGAAACCAGTGGCGGCCATGCTGTACTTTCTTCGTTTCTTATATTGCTGGGAAACAAAACGAAAGCAGTAAGTGCTTCTCTGAAGGTAACTTTTTTCTAATAACTCACTTCTGCTTTCCTTTCCAGTCTCATATCCGTTTCATGCGTCCTCATATTCCAGTTTGATTTTTTGTACGGCCAAACTCCTGGTGCCCATGGTGTACCACCCGACCGATAGTCACTAACCTCGACGTGGTGACAGGGCTTGTATACCACAATGACCCAGCGAGCTGTGTTGGCTGAAACGCTTGTTTTCTCCAGGTCTCACTACACCAGTAAGTTTTGTTGAACAACGGTAGGACGAGAAGCAGTTACCGTTGCAGTGTGTACCATCACCCTATGACGGGAATACGAGGGCGAAGTTGTACTACTAGCTGCATATGGTTTGATAGCAGTAAGGCGTTTCCCTTGAATGACCAGCAGTGCCACAATGATACTGCCTTCTCTACTGGAAGGAGCCAGAAAAAGTCGGCTCTAAAAGTAGCACACCCCTCCGTGCCCCATGGTCTTTTAGTGCCGATGACATGCGTTTTCTCCATCCTACGGTAGAAAAACCAAATCTTGTGTCAACAATTTTCAAAAGGCTGTGTGAGCAAGCCTTGAGTAGGTGCCTGACGGCCTTCGTGGTCGCACAAACCTTTTTCTCTTTCAGAGCGTAAGAAAAAATAGCCTACACGGTGCGGGCAGTCGGGAAGTGTCAGCCGCCCGTATGAACGAGCTAAACGCACTCAGCCATCTTGTGTACATTTGTCCAATGGGTAATGAGCCACACGTATTGTGGGGGCTTGTGATATCAGCTGGCTACCCAAACCTCGGTATGTGAGACAGAGCACAAACCCGTGGTCCAATGGTTAGTAGTGATCTTAAGCCACTGAACCACAGCTCCACTAGGCGCCCACACGCTCTCAGACCGAATCAAACTTAACCTATCCTATAACTTCCCTTACCTCTTACGAGTTTCTCAACCTCTTATTCTGGGACCATTACCAACGACCAAACCAGGCAAAACTTCATTCCTAGTCACCTAAACCTAAAACCCCGATACCGATCTCATACTAAAGTTTTTAACTGTCAAACTCTAAGCAAAATCGGGCAGCATGCATTGCTCGCCAGAACTCTGAAATCTCAAACTATGGATGTATGCTGTGTCTCTGAGACACGTTTACAGGACCCAAGTCTGGTTATTAAATTGATCTCCCCTGGCTATTGTACCAGTGCGGTCAGTCTTCAAAATTCCCTTTACGAGAGTCCAGAGACCCAGTTGCTAGCTCTCGTGGACTCGTTGGTGTATGCATAGTACTAAGCTATGGGACAGAAATTGCGTTTCTCCATCGGATACCGTCTACGTGTTGTCAAATTGAGACCAAAAGATGCTTATTCGTAATCCCATTGACTGTGGTTTGGTTGCAAAGGATAAATTCTACTGAAAGCTATCAGTTTTGCAACGGAAAGCGAAATATTCTGATATAGTCATAACAGTAGGTGACTTTAACGCTGAAGTAGGGAAGCTGCGTCAATCGGAAGTGTCTTGGGGTATCTATGGCTTCACATGGTAACGAACAGATAAAGGTGATCGTTTGTTGGAATGTAGTTCTGACAATCACTTGTTTCTGATCAGCACTAACTTCAAACATAAGGAGATACTGTCACACGGCGCCCACTGATATCAAACCAACCACGGACACAACTAGATCACATTGCCATAAGCCATCGTTGGAGCACTGCCTTTTTCCGAACTACCAGTTTGGAATCCGATCATGCGTAAGGGCTTTTGTATGTCTGCCTCTTAGTGGTCGCAGGAAACAGGTGATAGTATAGCCTATGGTCGAGGATGCCAAACACGTAATTACGGAGTTAGCTAGGCATTTATATAAACGTGATAGCAACGCTTATGTTAGGGAAACCTGGCATGATGTTAAGTCTTCTGTAGAAGCAGTGGTAAAGGCAACTGGTAACCTACACATAAAGGTTAGTAAACGCCATTGGATTTCAGTGAGATTACTCAAACTGATTGGTGCGAGACTTATTCCAGCTGCCTCTGACCACAAGGAAGGTCTTCTTAACAACCGCGAGCGGTGGTGGGTGACGAAAGGAGATAGAGAAGGCATTACCGCTAGGTAATACCCGGCAACTATTTAGGCTTTTTAAGATGCGAAATGGGTAGTGAAACCATTACCGGGAAGCATGGTAGCCTGATAACGTCTCGCGAGAGACGGTCAGGACGTTGGGTGGAACACTTTGAAGCACAATTCAACCGGCCCACAGCAAAAATACCAGTTTCCCAACATCCAATGTGAACCTAAAGGGACGGGGATATCGGTCCTCCAATTTTCCATGGTATTGAGAAGGCTGTTTCGGACCTAAAACGATGCAAACTAGAAGGACCTGACAGTTTGCAACTCGACACTTTTAAGGATGGGGGTAGGAAACAACAGATCAGAGTAACGGAGGTACTAGGTAATGTATGCAAATCAGAGGAAGTCCCGTCAGACTGACCTACTTTACTGACTTTTCCAGTATGTAAAAAAGTCCTTGCGACAAGCGTAAGAAAATCAGTCTTACATTGTGCCCGAGATCCTTGGAGCTCGACAAAAACTCGAGAAAACCAGTCAAATTTTAGACGTGAACGAGAGTGCATCGACCAGATATTTACCCTCAGACAGGTCCTGGAACATACGCATAATTACCGGCGCCCGATACCCGCCATATTTCTTGACCTGAAGGCGAGATTTGACTCTGTCGACGGTGAGATGTGGCAGTGCCTGACTGTACCAAGTACGCAACGCTAATCAACTCTGTAATCAAACTCATGCAGACCTGTAGGGCTTATGTCGTCTGACTTGATAACCAGTGGTGCCTGCCAGGGATACCTACTTTCTCCGTTCCCGCCTATTTTCGTTAAAGATGTGCTGATGGACACAACCTCAGGTAAGTATGACATCATAGGGATTGACAAACTCCCTGGTTAGCTTCGTGGACGCAAATGACATTGTCCTGCTACATCAAGCCGCTGACAAAATACAGGGTCTTCTAAACGTGTCGAGCAGAAATTTGAGTGTTTGGCATGCGTTTCGCACCTGTCAAATGTAAGATGATGCTTCAGCACTGGTTTGCTGCAAGCATTCCCAGTTTAGTGGTAAGCACTGAGAAGTTGGTAGGTGTTGGCCACTTAACTTTGATATCACTTTCCACTTACTGTATGCTACTTTAAAGTGTGGCAACTTGAACTGAGGTCCTACGTTGATTTCGCCTTGTTCTTGGGATGGGGAACCAAACTTGTATTCTGGCAACAGTGACAGTGGTAATATAAATAGAGATAATACTATAGTCGCATAAAAATTCACTTCAAACTAAATGTCACTTGAGGCGGTGTTTATTCAGTAGTTCTGACCCATCAAGGGAAAAAATCTCAAAAAGTTCGAGATAACATTAACCTAGATGATCAGTTACGACAAGCATTGGAAACATCTATTGAATGTATGCATGAGTAGTTCAAGTTAATGACTTATCGTTAAATTATTTGGAAACCTAAGATTTGACCTTCTTCATTGTTAAAATAATAACTTAATTATCACTTTTCATGGTACGAACTAGTTGGAAATTACACCACTCGTCGTATGATCGCTTACCTCCCAGTACACACTTTTCTTGATTCCTTGAGAATATGCCCGTGCGAACTTTGACTCTGAATTTAAGGCTGCGCACGCTGCCACTAGCTGACTCATGGGATGGAGTGATGACGGGAAATTGTCTAGCATGTTTAGGACATGGGAAGGCAAATCAGCTCGGCTAGCAAATTCTTTGGATATGTCATCAACTTGGGCTTTAGTTGGTACTTTTCCCGTGAGCAAAAGGAAGAAAATTCCCTCAGGCAGCGGTTCTTGTCCGCCGGCAGCTTTGGGGAGTTGTTTCTGGCAGTCAGGAATTGAAAGGCCACGGAAACGAATACCTTCATTGATATCCAGTACAGACGTCTCTGTGACCAGACCCTTGATACCTCTCATACCCCATACATCTTTAAGAAACATCAACTTTATAAAACCGAACAAACCATATCTACAGTGATATCACCGACTTTGGTTGACCCGTGTTCTTTTCGAAAGGCAGCAACTTTTGCTTGCTCCTTAGGTATAAGATCAGCCATTATATCCTTTAGGCTCTAAACACCAGGATCTATTATTTAGTATGGCATCTTACAGCTGAAGCAACAGGTGTGACTGAGAATTGACGAAATAGATTTCTTGAGGTTAGGTCGAGAGCGAAACTGACACCTTTGCGCGTAACCTGCATTGTAAAAGTAGTTCGTGCCTTCTGATGGCTCGAAAGTTTTGGTTTTCGAATAATGTGCCTGGCACTCAGCGCATTTCAACTAACAACGCCTTCAATTTCAAATAGTTACAAATGGTGTGGAATGAAATAAAAGAAGCCCTTGCTCAGCTTCCTTCTGCAGCCAGAACCAGTGGAGTAATAGTTCATGCCACCGAGAACCTACATCTGAGAACGACGAAGAGATAAAAGCAAGAGAGCAGTGTAACGCGTTTCAAACCTAGCTCACTCTCTTTCCAGCTTCTGTTTCCAGGCTACTTCACCTCTTTTTTGTCAAGTTCTGCAGTTTGCCAGTTGTCTTTTATTATTGGATGTAAGTACATCTTGTGTACTTGTTGAGTCATTAGCTCACGTCTTCTTTTTCTTTTCCCTTCCAGATTCTCATGGTCACTATTAAACTCCAGATGCCCGGTCCCACTGCAGCAACGTACCTCTCTACAGGCTACACGAAAACCCATCAACGGCCATACGCTATAGTAGGTTGTTTCTGACTTCGTCTGCAAACTGACGCTCCTTCCATAAGTGAATACCGAGTTTATGTGTAGAGGAATCTGATGATGTAACCTGGACAACTGCCGATTGGAGAGCATTTTAAGCCTTAGTAAACCATAAGGAGTATAGGACGCATCAAATTTTTATCTGCCCTGTGGTTCACCTTCTAACTTGAAGTATTATCCTTGAGTTTAGTAGTACAGCCCAGCATAAGAAAATGATCACTGTCGTTATCTGAAGCATTTTAAATATTATACTTCGCTGTTTAGCAGTCTGTTAGTCATAGATATCTCAAAGAACATAGAATGAATGCTGTCATGTGCTCCTCCCATGGCTTGAATGGAGTTGCCTCCGGATGCATTCTATGTGTTTGTACTTTTGAAGTAAAGATAACCGCTTTGAATTCTGGGTTAGGCTGAATAGAACTAACGAAGACCTGGTGGAAACACCTCACACAGATGACGTCGGTCCCCTCCTGCACTTTCCACTCCTCGGTCGTGCTGTGATCATCTTTACGTTTGTAGTAAGGGGTATGATTTCAGGGGTATTCGGGAGGTTAATCAATCCTGATATGCAGAAATCATAAGGCAAGCACTGATTCCCAACTCTTCCGTGAGAAGTTGGTACAGTGACCGTCCTGGGTCTCCCGCTATTTTTTGCGCACACAAATGAACTTCTGAAAAGCGTGAAATCCTCCATGGTTGTCTACACTGATGACGTATAAGTATGGCGAAAAACTAGGGACGACAAGGACCTACTTGAAGTTCAAGCAGAATGAAAAGTTTGTCAACTTGGCCAGAGAAATGGCCAATGCCTATCAACACAAGTGAGTGTGTGAGCACATAAGTAGGACTTGGGGACGACAGCACCCACCCACCCTCCGTATCGGCCCACGATAGCGTGGGAGTAGCGATAAGCCACAATTAGAAGACAGTGGCGAACTGCTGACTGGTCGCAGCCTAGGGTTTCGGGATACTTTGGGCATTGCGCAGAAAGCTATCTAAAGTAAGTGCTGACGTGTTCGATATTTAAAACACATCTCCAGTTAGACCCAAACTGTGCACAAGTGGGAACTCTTTGTCCGGCAGGTGACTCTCACAGCCGAGAAAGAGTTAAGAGGACACCCAGTAGTACGATCCTTGGAAAGGTTAGCCTGATCTAGGCAGAACAGCTTTAGAAGCTGAAAAGCTATTCCTTACCCTAACTATACCATACAGAATCTCGGGGGCGGACCCAGGGCCTGATCTATCTTCTCATTTCCTTACTGCCGTATCAGAATACCTTGGCGAATATAGTAGGAGGGTGAAAGGGCACAGGGTGAACAATGCCTCCTTAGAATAATGGTCTTCGTGTATAGCAGTCAACTCTTAGAAACAAGTCTCAAAAGATTTTGTGTTTGCGTCATCAGCTGAGCTGTCCTAAAGATTACTGGGCAGGCAGGGAGGTCTGCCTGGAAAGGATTTACATGGGATCAGGGCCTCCCATCAACAGGCTACAAATCCGAATCTAAGTTTGAATCTGAGTGAACCGCCCAGAAACCCATGGCGGGCCTGCAAGTGTCAGATTTGCACAAAATGGTTTGTCTCCACAGATTCAAACTTAAGGTCATTGGGAATTAAGACCCCAGCAACTGAAGGAACCTCTTTTCGAACTCACATTTTGTGCATTAGTAATGGAGGCGTTTGGAGGTGTTGCTTCCGCGAGGTGCCTGCCTTCAGTAGGTCAGCGGTTTAAGTATGAACAAAGAGTAAGCCATAAAGGACTTGATCCCCTACTGTTTGGGAAATCCGGGCTGCATTCGCCAGGCAAAAGGGCATTCAGATAAACCCGAATAATCTGAAAAGATTCTTTTCTACCATTGGTTACTCCAGCTATGTCTCCGAGTTCGAATACGGGTCTCATACTACGTCGTGGAAGTGTCACCATAAAATTTTCGGACGAAAAGTTTTGTTGAACGTAACGTTCTCATTGTCGAAGTAAAGCCAAACCAGCAGGTGAAGTGAGCCTGTTGTTTTCACGCGTGATTTCCCTCCCCAACATTAGATGAGGTAAAAATTTCGGAAGCTATCTATGAGAGGAAATCATGTGTAAAATCTGAAACCGCGTATGTCTGGAAACCCAATACTAACAATGCACTTGGGTTCTCCGTTTCTTTAGAAATACCAAAACTCACGCGGACCTTTGAGAGGTGATCACTAAAACAGAAGGACAGTCAATCAATTACCAATGGGTTGATTTTTGTCGGTTCGAGCTGGCTGGTACAAAAGATATGGCTCATGATATCCGAAGCCTTGGAGATTTTTATTGACTTATTTATCCCATGAGTTCCTAGTCGAATATAGGGCTTCAGCGGCAAGTCAACGTTTCATTCTCTCCTCTGCAGTCTTTTCAGCCTGACTCCACCACTGCCCACAGTCTTTCATTTCTTCCTCTCGTTATCTCCTTCGTGTCACTCTCGCACGCCCGACTCGTCGTTTCCCCTTTGGATTCCACTTGAGGGCATTGAATGGCCAGCGATGTCCCCAAACGGTTTTTTCAATGTATGTTCCATCCATCCCCACTTTCCTTTGCATAATTCCGGGCGATAGGTTCCAACTGGTTAGTTGCGAGGCCAGAGTGAGTTCCTTGTTCTTATTATTCTGACCATCCGTCTGATATCCAGTATCGAGCGAGCGCGGGCAGCAGCTGTTAACGTATGTCTTCAGTATGGTGGAAATGCTTTTCGTAACGCGCCAAGTTTCCGAACCACATAGGAGCATTGACTTAACTGACTTAGCGTTGAAAATCCGGACCTTCTTCACGCTTTGTGCTTAGTGCAGTCGATCTCCACACTGGTTTCAGAATAATGAAGGGTGGCCGGCCTTGCTGTCTTTTCGATCCTAGCTTTGGTATCCTCATCATTGCCACCACTACCCGTAGTTGGGACGATGCTGCCCGGACAAGGAGGTGGGTGAAAGAGACTGCTTCCATTAGGTTTCCGATGACCACGGTGATTGGTGCTTGTTCTTGTTGGTGGTAGTTGGGTATCTTCATCACCACTGTCTTCTCTACGTTTACCTGAAGGAAGTGCCGTATTCGCTGCCCTGCCTCTTCTGCTAGCTTATTGGTTCTTGCCCGCAGATCTTCCAGTTTGTGCGACATAGGACATAAGACATGATTAATCATCGGCGAAATTCAAATCTTCTTCTGCTTTTTATTCATCGTTCAAGCCAGCGTATGCCGATCTTCTCCCTCATAGTTTGCGGCGTGACCCAGTTCACCACAATCAAGATGATCAGTGAAAGTAGGTGGCAGCCTTTCCTTACTCCTATATTCACTTCAAAGGCATCACTGAGTTGTCTGTTGTGAATCACCTGGCATGTAGCATCACATAGCAAATGGGCGTAGCATTGAAGCAGCTGCCAAGTTACTTCTCGGCCGACGCTGTCGAAGGCCTTTCCAAAATAGATGAAACTGAGGTGGATGATGACACCAAATATCTTGCTTGGGGTGGACAGCAGCATGATTCCCCTCCAGCTCCCCTCTTTGGGGGGTGTAGCAAGATAGACCTACCAATCTTCAGGTACCTCTCCTTCCCTCCAAATCTTCTGCAATGCGGGCGTGAGCGTATCCTCTGTTGTCTCAGCGTCTGTTTTTAGTGCTTCTGGAGGATTTCCATCCAGTCCTGCTGCTTTCCCGGATTTTGGCAGCTTGATGGACTTCAGTATTTCACTTCTGCTTTTGATGAACGGCTTGTGTTAACCTGTAATTCTGTGGTTGGTGGTTGTATTTCTGAACGAGTTCCATGTGGTGGTGGTTGATTCGGGGTTTTCTGAAGTGGTCAGCTTATCGTTTTCTTTGTTTCTTCTCTTTGGTGACTAGGTTTCATCTGAATTGATCTTTTCGCAGATAGTAGCCCCGGTTATTTGATGCAATGTTGTCGGGTCTCTCCTACCAGCAGCTTGTTCTACTTCACTTGCCAATGTGTCATGGAAGTGTCTTTTGTCTTTCCGTGCGCACTTCCTCACTTCTTTGTCCAATGTAGTGTTTTATAGATTGTATTCAGTTCCTCCTTTTGTTGTTCATCCTTGCACCAGTTCATCTTCTTCACCATCCTCCTCTCCCTTCTCTACCAGCTTCTGTGTGTCTGTCGAGATCCGTTCTATGTCTTGCTTGCCATACAGGCTTTCTTCTACATCTCTTGCAG